GATGCGGGACTCTATCCAAGGACTCCAGGATCATGACCTGAGCCGAAGGCAGTCGCTTAACCAACTGAGCCACCCAGGTGCCTCTACTCTGCATATTTTAAAGATTTTTTTATGACCAATGAAAGACTGAATCCCACATTACTTGTGAAAAGAAAACAGGGAAGGGATTTTTATCCCAATTTATGGATAAAGAAACCATTTCAGGGTCCAAGGTTATTCAATAAATAAGAAGTTTCTCTCTGTGGCAATTACGCTTATGGAAAAAGTGGTCAACAGGGTCTAGAAGGTTGGTGGTTTTTTTTTTTTTTTTCCCTAGACTGGTCGATCCTAAATTCAATCCAGAAAAATAAGATAGGGTAAAGCAAGTCAGTGGAAGAAGAGAAAAAGAACATTTCTTTTTTTCTTGAAATGAATTAAATGCAACTCCAGCTATCAGAATCTGAATATGCAAAATCTGAAATTAGCCATACTAGAAATTCACAGTACCAGTTTGGATTTGTAAGACTTATAAAACAGTGAAACCTGTTTTTGTACTTTTAGATTAATATACTAACTTTGTTTTCATAAGTTTAAAATAATTGAATAAATACATGTCTATTGACATGGAATGATATGGTGATGTTCATTATATATTTTTAGGGAAAAATATGAAATGAAATGTGATTCTGTTCCTGTTTAAAATATATATATTTACTTATATTTAGCATTCAACAATAGAGAAAAAGCCTGAAATAGCAACATGAACATTTTTTCAGCTTTACTGAAGTATAATTGACAAAATTGTAAGATATTTAAAGTGTACAATGTGCTGATTTGATATATGTAAACATATATATGTAAACATTGTGAAAAGAGCACAAACATTTAATATTTCACTTAGCATAATACTTTCCAGTTTCATATATATAGTTGCAAATAACACAATGTCATTCTTTTTCAAGGCTGAATTAATATTTCACTATACATATACACATCACATTTTTTGTTCTGTTCATTAAAAATGTTAACCTCAAATATTTTACGGTCCAAAGAGAAGACTGCCTTTTTCTGATCATTTTATTCTGGAGGTGATAATATGATTTAGGGGCTGAAGTCACAACAACTTTCAGATCATGGAGAATCATACCAGAAGAAAACATTGTGCACTTCATTGGTTATTGGAATTCCTTTTGTAGATATTCATCTATACAGACTTCCTTTTCCTTCCTTTCCTTTTCTTTCTTTTTCCTTACTAGTTTTGTGCTTCAGGCAAGTTTTTCAACATTTCTGTGCTTTAAGTTACAGAATTGTAGTAACTATCTCCTAGGGCTCGGTGAAGAGTGCATGAGATAATGCAGAGTACCTTAGTGAGCATGAATAAATGCTCAATTTCATTATCAATTGGCAGGTCTGATGACTTGATTGCAAGCCCAAGACAATGGTAGTTCTGAGGAGAACAGAGAAAGATGTTGCATTAATAATTAATAAGATGAATTGATGGCAAGTAAAAGAGGCTTTAAACAATGTTGGCATTTAGTATCTCATTTATTACACAATCCAATGCTAGCATTTCTAGAACTGGTGCTTAGTGCTAACACCAAAGACTCAGGAGCTCAGTTATCCTCAAATATTATTTGTTCTGTGTATGATGTATGTTGCGGCTCTATATAGAAAAGCAGATGATGGAAACCAAATTATCTGTAAGGAAAAATTTTCCTAGGAACTATACCCCATCCTTCTTCACCCCCAAAGATTTTACTTTATGCCTCATTGCCCAGAAATGGGTTGTGCAGCCACCCATAACTGTGGAAGAATCCAGAAAGCAAAAATATGGTAAAAGAGAACTGGAATGCATTATTCATTCTCTTGAGCTGGACATGTCTGAACAGAGTAGAGGTGTCTTGAGCGTGGATAGAGGAAGATGAGTGGGACACTCTGAATATGCAGTGATTGTCATTGAAAGACTTAATTGGACACAAAATCTCAGTACCACCATGGCAGACATTTTGGGTACCACTGATCCCAGGAGCTTGATATTCAGTGGTGGACATGGCCTGTGAATGTCACATCATTAACACTGTGGCATATTTTGCCTTGCCTTTTTGGAAAACGTATTACAAATGTTACTCTTTACAATATAGCTCAACTTGTGTAACTGGTTATAAATTCTGGGCAAGGTATACTTCTAGGTGGTATAGAGAAGTACCTACAATTAAATAAATGCTTTTAATAATAGTGCCTCAAATCTGATGATCAGCATATCTCAGAGGATTTTACAAAGAACTTTGGGGTTTTGGTGGGGACTCTTTTTCTTTTTTTTTTTTTGCTTACTTAGGTTTTACAGTGAAGACTAAACTTTTTTAATTGATTTTATTACTTGTTTCACCAAAATCTCATTTTGCAATGCTTTGCACATTACCACATAGCTTCAGAGCCTGAAATTATCCCTAATTTAGATTTATGGGAAGAGTTTGCATATTTTACAAACATGGATTTTCTTCTAGTTCTAACAAAGTGCATTTATTTTGTGTACAAACAATATATCTGTTTTGGAATGCTTTTATTTAAATTCTAATGATTTATGGGCACTGTGGTTTGGCTGCCCATGTAGCATTTTATCTGGCCCTTTCTAGAACCTTAACTCTTTAATTGGGCAAGGCTATACTGCTGAAGCTTGTTGATCACTATCTTTTGGCTTCGACATTATCTCTATGGGGGCAAAGGGGGAAACAAGGTTCTATTTAGTTTTTGTTTGCTTTTATTATTTCCTTCAACTCTCTGGCTGGTTATTGCATTCCTGTATCATTTTGAAATTTATAGTCTATTTAATAGCATTTTTATTTTTTATGATTATGTCAGTCTTACCCATAAGAGGATCTTAGGGAATATGTTTTGAGTTTTTTTCAATACCAACCACATCTAGAAACTACCTAACTGAATTATGAGTTTTATTTTTTTTACCGGAGGGAGCTATGAAACAGAAATGATTTTAGATGTAGATTATAATAATAATTTGGAGGCATCTTTATGATGTGTGAGTTTCATATGACTCTCAAGCCTAGTCCTCCTTTGATTGTCACTGTTCTAATAGATCACTGCAAAACTTCTAATAGAGCACTGTTCTAATAGAGCACTGCAAAACTTCTAAACGTATCCAGTAGCAATCTCCACTTCAGGGGTAGGTGCAAGGACGCGGGGTATGCTTAATACTGAATCGTTCACGAAAATGTCAAGAACAGTCTGTTCAAACTGTCCCAAAAGGCAGCACAAATTGGTATTTATTCTTCAGAGATTAGGTGTTTACAAAGATGAAAACATTAAACTATCATTAGTTGGGGGGAAAAGATAATTTATTGGAAGGGTACAGGGATGTTTCAGGGGAGCACAAAGTCCTGTTATGGAAGACCAGATCAAGAAACTAGTAAGTTATCTGGGAACAAGGTGTCCTCCCGTCTGACCCTCCTTTACAGAAATATGAGAGTGGGTCATCCTCATAAATGGATACAGACATATAATGGTAGATTAAGAAGTCATAATGAGTCATAATTAGAAGTAACATTATAAATGTATACCATGTCCCAGGCCCCCTTCCAAGTGCCCTGCCTATATTGGCTCATTGGATCATCACAATGACCCTATGAAAGATTAAACTGATCAGGGAGAAGTTCAGTAACTAGCTTAAGGTGACATAAGTTGGTAAATAATAAAAAGTGGAGACCTGATTTGACCCCAGCTACCCGCTTCAGACGTAAGTTCTGTTGCTTCTGTTTTCTTCTCTTTCTGCTGACCTTTCTTTTCTAGTTTTTCTGCTTCAGCCTGTGCCAGATGGCCCCAGTCCCAATATTGCACATTTTCTGGTTCAGATGTCTGACAGAGATTGACTAGACTCTCTGGGTTCTAATTCTGAATTTCTGAGAAGCACAGTCTGTTTGGTCAGTCTGGTGAACAGCTCAATTGACTCTGAAGAGGGCAATGGGGTCATATGATTCGGACCTAGATGCCTCATTTCACTGTGAATGGTGAGGACAGATCTTATAGAGGGGATATGGCTGAGTAGTCCCTTGCAAAAGCTGTCTCTTATAATTTATAACTAGTAATATAAACATCCACATCTGGGGAGGTCATTCACATGATCTCCAGTACATCTTTATATATCTTCAATTACTAATTTTAAATCAATTTAGTCTATATTTCCTCTATATTACTCTAGAAAGTCATTTTATTTCTGCCTTTTTTGCATCCATTGCTCTCCAGATTAGAGTAAGTTTAGAAACCAAATAAACACAATGAAGATCTAGCAGTCTAAAGTTACCCTTAAAGATAATAGCTAAAATTAATTACCTTATTTAATCCTCACAACAAATCTATGAGGCAGAATCAGTACTATTCCCATTTTAACAATGAAGAAACTGAAGCAAAAAGGTTCAAATGAATAATCCAGGTCACACAGTTAGAAAGTGACAGAACCCAAGTCCAAACCTAGTCTGAGTACAGGACCTGAACTTTAAACAATTATACTACATTAACACATGTGCTTGTTCTTACTTACTTCAGCCAGTATTTGCAGGGTGGGGGGCAGGCCCCCATCTAAAAATACCATAGCAATCTCAGACATAAAAGTGGTTCATAGAACAAGATCTTCCCATGTGTATCTGCATCTGCTCACTCTCAGAAGAAGTACCTGCCATGAATCTTTACAACTTCTTGCACATCTGGCAGCACTTGTCTCATCCCAGAGAAGCTTTGGGAGCTGGAAGCAGTTTACCTTTGTGGCTGAGATGGGAGATGGGGGTCTGAATTCAGGCCACCAAGATTGGAATGCTAAATACATTTCTTAAGTGCTGTGTAAATTTGAGCAAAGAACCAAACTGCTCTACAATTCATTTTTAAAATCTGGGTGTTGATGCCTACCTCCCAATTTCTGTGAGGATTAAATGAGGCATGATACACATTTAGTTAATTTGGCTGCTAATTTTGGGCATACTCGTTGCTTAGTCTCAACTGCCTCCTGTCTCTTCCTTTTCTCCACCTACCAGTATTTAACACCATGGTTCTCACTGGCCCTTACACATTTTAGCATTAGAACTTCTACTTTGTGTGGCTCTTCAGTCTGCTGTCCTGTATATCTTCTGCTGTCAAATTGTAGCTTCTGTAATAAGTGAATGAAACTCAAGAACTCGTAAATCTCCCTGATTTCTCTGCATAGGAAGACTCAAGAGGCAATACTGTGATATTTTAACTGGTCTTTGGATTTGCAAAAAGCCAAAGAAATCATCATCCACTGGAAATAGCTTCCGAGGAGAATCCAGCAGAATAGAGAAATGTTAGGTCATCTCTGGTTTTTTTGAGAGAACTATGAAATATATTCAGCCATCACTGATTTTTCGTGAGTGGAATATTTAGGAAATATGACACTTTATGTTCTAAAATTGTATTTTATGATCAGAATCTGTAAAGTCTTAAATCTGCATTAATAATAATATAGGTCTAATTTCTATTGCTCTTAGTTTTTGTAGAATACTCTTATATAAATTTTTCCATCAGCCCTCACAAAAATGAATGAAGTATTTGTTATTATCCCTATTTTATAGATGGGAGAATTGGTTTCCAGAAAGATTAATGGCTTCTCACTTCATTGTTCAAACCAAGGGCTCCCATGCCTTGCAGCATATGGCTTGAGAGCATAGAGTTTGGAATCAAAGGGACTGGTTTTCTTTTTTTTTTTTTTTTTTTAGATTTTATTTATTTATTTGAGAGAGAGAATGAGATAGAGAGCATGAGAGGGGGGAGGGTCAGAGAGAGAGGCAGAC